GTGCTCGAGTCCCTTCACCAGCCTCATTGCTCTTCTTTGGACCTGCTCCAGCACCTCAATATCCTTCCTAAACTGAGAGGCCCAGAACTGGACACAGTACTTGAAGTGCGGCCTAACCAGTGCTGAGTACAGGGGAAGAATCACTGCCCTGGTCCTGCTGGCCACACTGTTCCTGATCCAGGCCAGGATGCCACTGGCCTTCTTGGCCACCTGGGCACACTGCTGGCTCATGAGCAGCTTCCTGTCAATCCAAACTCCCAGGTCCTTTTCTGCCTGGCTGCTCTCCAGCCACTCTGTGCCCAGCCTGTAGCGCTGCATGGGGTTGTTGTGACCAAAGTGGAGGACCTGACACTTGGCCTTGCTAAACTTTGTACCACTGGATTCAGCCCATCTATCCAGCCTGTCCAGGTCCCTCTGCAGAGCCCTCCTGCCTTCCAGCTGATCGACACTCCCCCCCAACTTAGTGTCATCTGCAAATTTGCTGATGGTGGACTCAATCCCCTCATCTAAATCATCAGTAAAGATATTAAACAGAACTGGGCCCAACACTGATCCCGAGGGACATCACTAGTGACTGACTGCCACCTGGATGCAGCACCGTTCACCAGCACTCTCTAGACCTGACCGTCAGCCAGTTCCTAACCCAGCACAGAGTGCCTCTGTCCAAACCGTGGGCTGCCAGCTTTTTCAGGAGTATGCTATGGGAGATGATGTCAAAGGCTTTGCTGAAGTCCAGGTAGACTATACCCACAGCCTTCCCCTCATCCACCAGGTGGGTCACCTGGTCATAAAAGGCGATCAGGTTGGTCAGGCAGGAGCTGCCCCTCTTAAATCCATGCTGGCTGGGTCTGATCCCGTCTGTCCTGTAGGTGCCGTGTGATCGCACTCAAGATGATCTGCTCTATAACCTTGCCAGGCACCAAGGTCAGGCTGACAGTCCTGTAGTTTCCTTGGGTTAGGGCATAGTTTATGAAAGGGAGACAGATAGATAACACCACTTAACTGATTTTGCCTAGCAAAGTGTTTTCACCTGGAAAGAAAATTAAGATTTCTAGGGATAACAGAGCACCATTTTATACTGGGTTTTATAAGGCTTTATTAAAGATCGTGCTCTTCAATAAATAGATTAAAAATCAGATGCATTCAAGATACGAGGTTCAAAGTTTACAAGAATATCTTAAGAAAGAACACATAATTTTATCATTTTTGTACATATGGACTGGATGTCATTGCAATTCTTGACTACAGAATATAAAAACCCATGTATTGTTTTTTTGAAATGTATACTTTTGCGCTTTTCTAAACCCACAACAGAATCCCTTGGTAAGTGCTAACTACACTGAATGCTATTCTCCACAAGGAAATGAGGAGGAAATACGACAGTAATATATCCAGATAATTGGTAACCAGGTTACAGCATCCTCACTACTAATGTGGAAAGCAGATAAGCAGCAAAGCTGAGATGCAGCACAAAGCAATTTTGAATTCAGGGGTGATCTGAACTGAAACAAAAGGGGCAATAATCTTAATGGTAGAATTAGTCCATGACTTCAAAGGCCTTAATCTGTTGAAAATTTCCGAAGAAATTTGATAGAAGTCCAAAGTTTTGACAAAAATAAAAAAGACCACATCAGCATTTAAAAGAGGAGCAAGGCTGCAAAGAAAAGTACTAAAAACTGGGGTTTTTAAGAATGCTTGCAAAATGCACGCTGTTAGTGTCACCTTTATTGCATGTGCATTAAAGCAGTTTCAACCACCAGAACAGGTATTTCTGTTCCCTTCAGATTCTTGGCCGCATTCAACACACAAAACACAACACTCTTGGCTCTGAGCATGAATTAGGGATTGGTAGCAGAAATAATAAGAAGTAGCCTTCTTCACTTCTTGCTAAAGTCAGAAGGCACCAAAGCAAGTAGATACAATAAATACTTACAGTAGATATAGGCAATAAATAAGAATAATAGTGAAGTTAAAAGAGAGAAAATTAAAATAATACTTAAAGTAGGTTTCTAATTTGCCTCTGACAATAGAAGTTTCTGTGCTCTGGTGGGAAAGTCACCCAATCAACAATCCTTTGAGATGCTTGCTAACAGTGAATTGCATGTTTTCTAGCTGACCCACCTCATACACCTTTAACCTTAGTGTCACAGTACATTATGTTTCCAGATAAAAGACAAGCCCTACAGAGATGAGCATTTAACTTGCAGCATTCAGTGCACCTTGAGCCTCATGTTTAAATGGGCATTCTAAGGGAGAATTGTCTGCTTTGGTCTAAGCTAGAGTAATTGCTTTCAGTGTTCCACTAAGTGAGTATCTAAATCCAACACTTGAGAGATGACCCATTTAGAATAAAGGAGGAGAATCAAAATAGAGAAATACACTGAAAGTCAAAAGTTTTTCCAGGGCAAGTCCTAACTCTTAGCAGCATTGATGGAAAACATTTAACAAGAAGGTGTTCAGTAGATTAACCTGTAATGGATTTGCTGAAGCTGTCCTCAGGAGAATACCTACCACTATTATTTAAGAGTTGGGAGAGTAAAGGGAAAAGCCACAGCAACTGAACCATAAAGAGATGTCTTGAACTGGGTAGATGATTTTTTATTACTAAAGATAATTTTATTCTGTGTTGATATTATTTGATTTTGACAACTATTAAATGAGGCAAATTAAACAGGAGAGTTGGTTTGAAGATTTTTTTTAAGTCAGAACTGCAACACTATTATTGCATCAAAATCCATCATCAAATTTAATGAAAACTCTACTATCAGGAACCTGCCTGAGAAGACAGTCATAGCCTAAGCAATAAAACTATATCTATACATAAACTTTCACTTTAAAATCTTCTACTGCATAAAACTTAAATGAATGTCTGTGATTTTTATTGAGATTTTAAACAAATTAGTTAGTTTCCTTCTATGTCCAGCACTTTCTGTGCAAAGTCTGGAAATACTTTTTTCTTTTAAATCTTAGTGTTTTCAAATAATTTTGCACAAAAAAGGTCATAAGTAGCAGCTTAGCTGCTATTTTTAGCAGCAAAGAGTTAAGGTCTCAAAAATAATCCTTTATTAATAAAATTCATAGCTGGATCACATTAAATCTTTAACCATTGTGGTGGGGAAAAAAAGGGTGTTTTTCCCCTAGAGTTAAAAAAAATGGTAACCCCCGAGGGGGTGGTGTCCCTTGGGGTTGATCCAATCAGTGCCCCTGCAAAATTTAAACATATCACACCAGACCGGAAAAGAAGGATGATGAGGTAGTTGGAGAAGAAGTGGCCATGTTCTGAGACCACGAGGGGAGAAGGGGCAGGAGCCCCGCTGGGGGGCCACGACCCCCAGCCCCCTGGCTGGGGTTGTAGAAACTCAGAAACAGTGTTAAACTGGACCAGGTTCTGTGACTGAAAAGCTGGGAGTCTTTCTCCACTGTGAGTGGGCAGCAGGAGCAGCAGCAGAGACAGCACTGAGCAAAGAACTGTGGCAGAAAGCCAGAAAGAGATAAAAAGCAGCAAAGGTGGCATGCAGCCAAGCAGGAAGACACAGAGATGTCTGAGAGAGAGAGAGAGAGAAGAGAAAGCTCAACAAAGACAGTTTTGGGGGTAAGAACTGAATCAAAGCCCCCCAAAACCCCTTTGAGACCCCTCTTAAGAGGAGGGGGTAGACTCCTACTGGATGGAAGTCCTAAAATGCAACATGCAGCAAAGAGAGAGGAGCTAAGAAGCTCAAATGTCTTGGAAGCTGGACTGGGACGGTCGGAAAGAATGCAGAGGAGGGCCTTCCCCCCACCACCACCACTGCTGCCAAGCTGGCAGTCTGAGACAGAGCAAAGGAGCTCTGATAGAACGCTTGAGGAAAAGACTTTCAACTGAAAGCTGCCCTAGATGTTCTGACTCAGGGGAGCTTGAATCCCCTGAGGAAGGGATCTTCATGGGGGTCTTACACCCCATGATATGACGTGGTGAAGCAAGCCTGTCCCTGCATCACAGTCCACAGGAGAGAGACCTTCGTTTGGAGTCAAAGGGCCGAGAGGGGTGAGAGGAGACCCCCCCTTGTGCATAACGGAGAGAGAGATCCAGCTACAACAATCCAGCTACAGCTGCTGCATTGAGGAGGAGAGACTGCTGCCCTAAAGGTGGAAAGGATCTTTCCTTCTTCCCTTCTGGACTTTTACTGGAGGGAAAAGAGATTTGATCAAATGTAAATATTACTTTATCATAGGAGAGATAGTTAGGATTATGTATATAATGTATTATAATATTTATTTGTGTAGTGATTGTAATATAATTCCCTTCCCCCCACATTGAGTCTTGTGTTGTGTCTGGAAAACCTCTCTCACACTGGGTTGAGTTGTGGGAGGGGGGCTTGGACTCGGGAATTGGATTTTTGGGGGTTTCAAACCACGACAACCATATAATCATCTGCTAACAAGTACTTTTCCAGCTTGCACTTTTACAAACTGTATTGTGGCAAAAAACCCCTCCAGAACATTCATTCCTTTGATTAAGGATCTCCTTCATTTGAGCAGGCCAAGCTCAAATGGAGAGACGGCAAGAAGGATATCACCCCTCGTTCCTCAGAGGGAGACAAAACCTACTTAAAATCACATGGAACTCAAGTCTCCTGACAGTACCATTTCAACATTATCAAATATCAGCAGAGAGATCATGGAACACTGAAACCACGCAAACAGATCAAGAGAAGAGCAGGATTTCCTCTTGTTGCTGTGATGCAGCTGCCTAATTGCTCCACGCTGATTTCGGACACTGAACGTGAACATGGGACTCCCTGTTGGCAATTAAACACTGGACGGCATTAAATCTTTCTTGGATAATTCTTCATTATTTACTTCTTTTTGGTATGATTAAAATAGAACTGCTAAAATCTGTTTTTCTGACTTACACGTCTAAATTCACCATTTATATGTCCTATTTATAAACCACTGTTTGTGTTCGTTGCCTATATACACGGTTCATTTTCACATTATTTAGGAAGTAGGGAGTATCTTACCAGGAATGGTTCTGTATAGCTCAGACGGGCTGCTGACCTTTTGGCTGGAGAGAATCCGCTGCTGGTATAGTGGAGGTGTTGTCACTAAGGGAAAAGGAAAAGGGCAATTCCTCTTCAGTAACAGCTAAAATGTTAATAGTGATATTAAAATAAATAAATAGAGATGGACATTTTCTTACCGTATGTCATCTCTGGTGACAGGGAAAAAACTGGCATGGATGTGACAGATTCATTTCCATTTTTTGTTGTGGAGATTTCTCCACCTATTTCATCTTGATAACTTACAACAACCATCTAAGAAAAGGCACAAAAAAGCAAAATTATGGTGTGAAAATTCTCACTTAACCATTGTCATAATTTGAGATTGGCCCTCCCTGAGAGTGGGGGGCTCAGAGGTGGTTGGGTGCCAGGGCAGTGTTCCCTGGAGAGCCAATCACCACTCATCTTGTTCGCTTCTGCTCAAAATCATATATACACAGCATCAGAAGCTGCTGGCAGTGTTTTTTCTGTTGGTGTCTGCTGCGTGTAGGTGGAGAAGGCCAGGGGGTGGCTGGGCTCCTTCTTTCCCCCCTCCAGGGGGGAGAGAGGAGCCCTGCGGCCCCCCCAACTCTGCCTAGGCCAGAGTTAGGGACAGCATTTGGAGTGTGTGCTGTGAAGGAAGAGATTCACAGCACCTGAGGTAAGAGGGAGGAGGCCAGGCCCTCTTTCCCCCCCCCGAAGCTGCGGGATGCTTGGGACAGTGTATAACTGGACAGAGCTGCCTGTGGCCAAGGCTAGGGGGCTTTTATTCCCCTTCACTGCATTGAGGCTGGTGGGGGGTGGATTTTAAGGCTCAGCATTGAAGCAGAGCCAAGTGGACGGGCTGCTGACGAAACAGCTCAGAGCCAGGGAAAGGAATCCCAGGTGAAATTGGAGACAGACCCAAGAGAGAGGCCTGGAGGATGTCTCTGCCGTGATTTAAACGCAGGACAGCCGAAAACCCGGAGGAGGAATCAACATTCCAGGACGTGTACGCTGATAAGCTACACTACAGCAGCCTACGAACCGAGGTATGAGACTGAGAGAGAGAATGACACAGCAGAGACTGACATGGGACCGAGGAGAAAGGACTCAAAGCTACTTTCTTGGACTTCGTGAGGAGAAAAACTGCAACAAACAGCTGGAGCTTGGTGAGGGGGGAGTGTTTGGGTCCTCGAACACTCCCATGAGAGATAGATTGCGTTACATATCAGCCTTGAAAGGCTCTTCCTGGACTAAAGTTAAAGGGAGGGGCTTAAAAGGACTGATAGAAACGTTATATATATATATATAGTTGCCTTTAGTTTGTATAGTATTTATTTGTGTAAATAAATGTATATACTTCCCCTTCCCCCTACAGAAGCCTCTGGCCTGAAAGTTTCTCTCCGGTGTTGGGATAAATTGGGGGAAGGGGTAGGGGGAAGCCTGGAAATTGGATTTTGGATTTCTAATGTGGCTCAAACTGCCACAACCCTACGACACAGTGGGGCATTCTTCGTCAAATTACAGAAGGTTTCTGTAATCAAATATAATACAATCTACTGTTCCAGCAGAGATATCTTGGAACACTGAAAAACATGCAAACACACAGAATAGACAAGAGCAAGATATCCTTAAACACTGAATTGCATTTCTGAGGTAACTGCAGTCATTTGTTCTTCTTGCCATGATGCAACTGCCCAATTGCTTCACATTGATTTTGGACACTGAACATGAATGGGACTTCCTATTGGCCATTCACTTCAGTAAGTATTTCTTGAAAAATTCTTCATGGTTTACCTCCTTGGTCTCCCCTAGAGCAATTGGTGATCCTAGAATTATGGCCTCATCAGTAGCAGGAGGTGTCATCCATCCACACCTGTTACACGATGGCTGCCCAGGGACATCATTGTCATACTGCCCCACACTGAACTTTCTCATCCTTTTCCCTGTTGCACCATCATCTCGCATACCTGTTGCTGAAAATAAATGGGCAAGCTGATTAATAAACTCTTTTTTTTCCCAGTTAGAGTTGTTAAAACAAACTTTAATATTGTGCCTGTAGTGATTCTATTCAAGAATGTTCATGAAATAACTGTTTTACAAAAACCACATAAGTGGGGAAAAATATCGGTTGTAGTTAGCCTTGCTGACACCAGCTTGAACATATTCACAGTGCCCTTGATTCTAGAGGAGTCAGTCAATCAGCACGTTTCCGCTCATTTTTGAAGCTGCATCCCCAGTGCCATCGGTAGAGCTTGCCAGCAGGGGCCGCTACGGGAGCTCCAATGGGAAACCTCTCTTGCCACTCCTGACGCACAGCGCTTCTGGGCAGAAAAGCTATTGCTGCGGTCCAGGACTGCATTCTCCCCAACCGCCCCTCCCCCCCACCGCCCTAGTTTCTTTTTAGCTAAAACAGACCCTGGTCCTTATAAACTCAGCTCATTGTACACCCTTTGTGACTCACATGACAATCACACAATCACAAAAATTAGGTGTTAGATACACTTAGAAGCTGTAACTGTTCTGAGGAACAGCACAGAAGAGTAAGTTGACCCAGCAGAACAAACCAGGATATTCAAGGGCATAAAGCAGTATTTGTTTCCAAAGTTGCTATTAAGAGCATGTCATTAGATACAGGCTTATGATTAGCAGTACTTTATATCTGGTCATCCCCACCAAACAGCAGGCACTTCCAGAACATTCCTGCAGCAACTGCCTATTCTACCCTTCTTTGTAACAGTAAGGATCCCACAACAGTCCTTACTGTGTAGTCACAGGACAGTACAAAAATAACTGTATGCATAGCTACTATTCAAATACTCCTCTGAGACCTTTTATTGTCTGTACATGCAAAAAGCTCTTTGAGAATTAGCCGTTTCTCTTAAAAGAACTGAAGATTTCTAAAAGAACTTACTTTAATTGCTTGGTGTCATTTAAACCCTTACAATCATTTTCAACTGTAAGTATGTGTTGATGAAGCACATCTCCTACACACCCTGATCGTGGCACCATAACAGTAGGAGTCCAAAGTGTGCCCTTCATCTAAACCAGCGCGAGGGCTGAACTGGACTTTGGTAGAGAAAGACAATAGCATACACCTTACACACACATCCATTCTGTACAGAAGCCAGGGTAGAAAGTCTAGCATGCAGCATAAGTATTTGTATTATAGACATTTTACCTTGATTACACAGTGCAATTATAGAGCAACTATGCACAAATATGCTTTGGTATAGAAGAACAGTTTTTATTCAAGATTGAAACAGAGAGATTTCAGATTAAAACGTATGGTACTTAAATGATTTTGCATTGACATACATATGTATCAAACTAAGTAACTTGCTGGCAAGTAGTGGCTTATCCTAAAATTATTAATAAATCTCTTGCAAAACTACTGGATTAGATACATCCAAAAAAATCCAGCTCTGCTAGCATCAAAGCCAGTATGATAGTAACTACTTTAATAACTAACTAACTAGCTAAATTAAACCCTGTCAGTCACTTTTGAAAATTCCAGCAGTAGGGTTAAATTTCAGGGTCCAAATTTAGCTAGTTATTTATTTTATTGAGTCAACATTTATACACCTAGCACATTTTGGAAAATACATAGCTGAGATTCAGTTTTTATGGTGCAATTTCGAAAACTAAAATACTTTTTAAGCATCCATATTGTAATCATCTATTTAACTCTTTTTCCCTTGACTTGAAACTTTGTGTGATCTTTCATGTATGGAAAGAGTATTTTCTGAAGACACTGTGAGCAAACTAAATGCATGGCTCAAGATCTTCTAAGCCAGAAAGGGACATGAAATATCAAATACCTTCCAAACCTCTTAAATGATGCTAAAAAGTCATGATGATTTTTACTGAAATTGAAGACACTTAGGAATATAGACTGAGTTCATACTACTCCAGAATTTACCAACTTTTTGTATTGAATTTCTTTTTTTGATTTGAAAGTTCATAAAGAAAAATGAGTGTGAATCACTGTGCAGAATCTCAGACCATCTGAGACCAGACACTCCCAGTCCCACTGCTCCTCCACAGGAGGCAATCGGAGGCAGGAACAGCACAGAAGAGCTTTCACTCAATTTGTAACCAAGTTAATGAGGCACAGACAGTTTATTTTGGAATACTCCTCTCTTAGTTAACACAGCCTCATAGACTACTTTATGAGAGAGAATGTCTACCTTTTGAATAGGTCAAAACAGACCCATTTAAATTAAATGCAAATTTTGCTTGTCACACTAATGAAAGGACTTAATCATCAATGATATTAATACACTCATGTCATTAGTATTCATACACTCATGAAGCTTGTAATTTCTACAAAGTTAATGTAGTCCCCAGAAATCTGGCTACAAACAGGTATCTCAGAGAAAATGGATATTTTCCGTAAACAGACTGGAAGTGCACAATATATCAAATTCCCAGCAGATGCTGGACAATAGAGGGGAGAAGTTGAGCTGATATATTACAATAAAGCTTAAAGCAACTAAATCTAAGAGATTAAAATTGAGGGAGTGAGCAAAAAAATACTTTTACTTAGTTTATTAGTTTCAAAAATGTACTTCAGAGTAGCCTCATTTAATGTACCAGAGTTACCAATTTAAAAGGCATCTTTTATAGTGTAAAGTGTCAGGAACCAAGACTTCCTAGAAGCTACATCATTCGTTTTTGTTCTTATAATTTAGCTTAAATTTTTGGCAGAGCTTCATAAATATCCCAGGAGCACATATTTACTTCTTTTCTTGAATGCATGTGAACTGCAGAAGTAATCTTGTTTTTCCTGAAGAACAAATTATAACATTTCAAAAGCTTGGCATCAGAACAACACTGGCCATTTCTCTTGTCAAATGGTTATCACTATGCTGATGCTACAGCTAACAGAAGCATGGCCAGTGGCTAAAGGTTAATTGTTTTTTGGTTTCTTTAGCTGCTTAGCTTTCCTGGACTACTGTCGAGATGTATTTACAGCTATTAGAAAGAAAACAACACTAAGCTTAAAATCTTGTCTATGGTGACATGCCAATAACAGTACTTTATCTCATATACTAGCAGTTGTCCCAGCTAAACTGCAAAACAAATTACATTATCTCTCGAGATGTGTCATACATGCTTGTATTTACCAAGTGCATTAAAAAGGTCCACATTTACTTTCAGTTACCACAACAACTACCAAGATGATGCCTGCATGTTTTCACTTGATTCACAGGGCTTGTGGGCTAGCCTCAAAACCAGCTTTATGTGAGAGCAGAGCAAGCACAGCATACGTGGTAGAACTCTCTGTGAAGAACTTTTCTTGTGGATGTATAAAAAGAAACTGGGCTGATAGCCCTTCTACCCATCATGGAAGTCCTAATCATTTGTAAAACAGAACTATCAGTCTTTTCCAAAGCCCAGCATGGTGCATTGAAGGCATTCCCTTAACTTCTACACTAGGAGTGTGTATCACAGCTAACTGTGCAAATTAAAGTCAAACTGGAGCAGATAATTACAAAACAAAGTTCAAAAGAAATATAAAAGTTTAATTAAAGTCAAACTGGAGCAGATAATTACAAAACAAAGTTCAAAAGAAATATAAAAGTTTCAGCATCTTGTTCTTTACCCCTCTATAAGAGGCTCTAAATCACATTAGGATGTTGTACACAAAGCAGTTCTAATGATCTGAATACTACAGGCCACTCAACTACCCTTCTATACCTCTGCATTGTTCTTCTTGATAGAGGAAGTTCTTTGCTTTTTAAACAAAGCGATATATTACAGAAAAGACTTTTAAAACTCTATCAGCAAACTCATTCAAACTGCTTGGGGCAGGGGTGTGTGTCACCTCTCAGCCTCCTTCTCTCTGAACTAGACAAACCCAGCATCCTCAGCCACTCCTCGCAGGACATCCCTTCAAGCCGCCTCCCCAGCTTTGGTGCCATTCAAGCACCTTCACATCCTTGTTAAATGGTAAGGCCCAGAACTGCACACAGTACTCAAGATGAGGCCACATCAACACTAAATACACCTTATAAAGCAGGTTTATTATTAGACAATGCCAGACAATATCAAATCACCAAGAATCAATTTCAAACTGAAGTCATTAAATTTAAATTTTTCACATTTAAACGTAAGACCAAATATGTTTTCATTTACAATATTGCTTAGAAATTAGCAAGTATTTACATCATCTTCAGTGTTTAAAGAAAATGTGTCCGATTGCTAAATTTTAGTCATAATTTTATAAATAAATGAGTGATCAAAGGTGATGCTTTGGTTTTTTCAATCAAAAGTACTATCAAACTTTGAACCTAATACTATTAACTGAAATTTCACATTGTCCTCAACAAGTACTTAAAATCTGGAAAGCAAGAATTGCTGCCATCAAAAGGAAAGAAACCGATAGTTTTTACAAGACACTTACATTAAAAATTTACTGCAGAAATTATCCAACTGATTGCAAACATGGTGAATTGTTACAGCATTAAAATATAAATGTCTGAACTCATAAAACTGATTTTAACCCCTTTGATCATCAATGCTTAAGTAACAGTAAGGTAATTTTCTCTGGATAGAGCTTAAGCAATGTTAACTATTATTTCACAGACAGTTACTCGCTTACTTAATTTCATTTATTCCCCAGCAGGATTTTTGGAATATGCAATTCATTTTAATACTTTCCCTTTCACAAGAGACAAAAGGTAACACCTATACATACAAGAAAATCTGCCAAACTTCTGGTGGTTTTAGAAAATTACATACTGTTTCATGAAACAAAAGGAAAATTTACTAGGATGTATGTTTAATCAATAACTAATTAATACAACTTAATACAACAGACTCTACAAACAGACAAGTTAGAAATCATTGCTGTGTACAAGAATGTCACACACAGAAGGGCACAGAGAGGAACAGACGAAGCGCTTGCACTTCAAGCGAGCTTCTTACCACAGCTCCAACTGGTGTGAAAAGTTAGCATGACATGAGAGGC